ATTTCCAGGGACTGAGAAGTTTGTACAGCCGTGAATGGATGAGCTGGAATTTGAAGTTTTAAGATGTAATTGGCAAGGAAAAAAAAATAGTTATATATTTGGAAATGCTGAGTTTTGATGATGCAGAAATATACTGATTAGAATATAAAATAAAGAGCTTCATTTATTTTTTCCCCCTGATGCTACTATATAGAGAACAAAAATGACTCTTGAGTTTAGGAAATAAACCAAAGCTCTCCTGGGTTGAATTTACAATGAATTATGAGTTTATCACTGATTTAATTCAATTAAAAGTACCATTAATGCTCTGGGCTTGACATGGTACAGCCTCTAGAAAAGAAAATACAGAGAGATGATATGGAGATATTCAAATTAGCGGAGGGGAGGAATCATGGACATTCTGGACTGTGGTTAAGATGACCCTCATGTCATAGGAATGAACTTACGGGTTTTTCTTTGCACAAACCACGGCTTGTCCTATACAGGTGTTCCTCGACTTTTGATCACAGTTGACCCCAAAATTTCTGTTAAGTGAGAGAGTTGTTAATTGAGTTTTGCTCCATTTTATGACCTGTCTTGCCACAGCTGTTAAGTGAATCACTCAGGTGTTAAGTTAATAATACAGTTGTAAAGTGAATCTGACTTCTCCATTGAACTTTGCTTGTCAAACTTGATAAAAGGTGATGACATGACCCTGGGGCATTGCAACTGTAATAATAATGATAATAGTAATAATAATAATAATAATAATAATAATAATAATAATAATAATAATAATAGTAATAGTAATAATAAAGTTGGAAGGGACCTTGGAAGTCATCAAGTCCAACCCCCTGCTCAGGAAGGTAACCTTACCCCATTTCGGACAAATGGCTGTCCAGTTTTTTTCTTAAAAACTTCCAGTGTTGGAGCATTCACCTCTTCTGGAGGCAGGTTGTTCAACTGGTTAATTGTTCTGTCAGGAAGTTTCTCCTTAGTTCTAGGTTGCTTCTCTCTTTGGTTAGTTTTCATCCATTGCTTCTTGCCCTGCCTTCAGGCGCTTTGGAAAATGATCTTGATTCTATCCCTCTGTTAATGCAGCCTAGCACTGTGTTGGCTTTTTTGGCAGCTGCAGCACACTGCTGGCTCATATTTAAATGACTGTCCCATAGGACTCCAAGATCCTTCTCACAGTTACTACTATTGAGCAAGGTACCCCCTATACTATACCTGTACATTTGGTTTTTCTTGCCTAAATGTAGAACCTTACTTTTTTCACCATTGAATTTCATTTTGTTAGAAAGTGCCCAGTGTTCAAGTCTGTCCATATCTTTCTGTATCCTAAGGCTGTCTTCTGGAGTGTTGGCTATTCCTTCCAGCTTGGTGTGGTCTGCAAATTTGATGAGTTCCCCATCTATCCCCTCATCCACATCATTGATGAAGATGTTGAAGAGCACTGGGCACAGAACAGAGCCTTGGGGCACCCCACTACACACTTCCCTCCATGTAGATGTGGTTCCGTTGAGGACCACACGCTGAGTACGGCCGGTCAGCCAGCTACGGATCCATCTGGTGGTGATGCTGTCTAACCCGCATTTTTCTATCTTATCAAGTAGTAGGTTGTGATCTACTTTGTCAAATGCCTTACTGAAGTCCAAGTAAATTATATCCACAGCATTCCTCTGGCCCACTAATTTTGTCACTTGGTCAAAGAATGCAATAAGATTTGTCTGGCATGATCTGTTTTTGACAAACCCATGTTGGCTTTTAGTAATGACTTTGTTTGCCTCTAGGTGTTCGCTGATTCGTTGTTTGATTATCTTTTCCAGAATCTTCCTAGGTATTGAGGTCAGGCTGATAGGTCTGTAATTTCCTCGGTCCATTTTTTTTCCTTTTTTGAAGATGGGAACTACATCAGCTCTTTTCCAGTCCTTTGGTAGTTCCCAGTGCTCCAGGATCTTTGAAAAATATAGTTCAATGGTTCTGAGATCACATCTGCCAGTTCCTTGAGAACTTTGGGGTATAATCCATCTGGTCCTGGTGATTTGAACCGTCTAGGCTGGAGAGGTGCTCACTTACCATTTTCTTGCCTATCTTAGCTTGTATTTCTATTCTGTTTTTTATGTTACTGTTTTTGATAGGTTGGTCTGTTTTTTCCCTTTGTGTAAAGACAGATGCGAAAAACGAGTTAAATAGTCCTGCTTGCTCCCTGTTGCTTGTCACCTTATTGCCACTTTCCCCCACTAATAGACCAATTGTTTCCTTCACTTTTTTCTTGTTTCTTACATGTTGAAAGAAGCTTTTTTTGTTATTTTTGACTTTGGTCGCAAGCCTTACTTCATTTTGAGCCTTAGCTTTCCTCACTTCATCTTTGCAGGCTCGGGCTATTTGCTGATATTCTGACTTAGTTGTGTGTCCCTCTTTCCACTTTCTATACTTGTCCTTTTTGTCTTTCAATTTATCAGAGAGTTCTTTATGAAGCCATGCTGGTTTCTTTTGAGAACTGTTATTTTTCCTATTTGTTGGTATTGTGCTAGACTGGGCTTTTATTATCTCACTTTTCAAAATTTCCCAAGCTTCTTGAGTTGTTTTCCCCTGGAGGATTCTCATCCATGGAATCCTTCCCAAAGCCTCTCTAAGTTTATTGAAATTAGCTCTCTTGAAGTCCAAGACTCTAGTTTGACTGTGTTCTATTGCTTGTGCTTCCATAATGTTGAATTCCAATATTGCATGATCACTTCCTCCCAAGGTTCCTATGGCTTCAACACCTTCTATCATTTTATCTCTGTTAGTGAGAATTAGATCCAAAATGGCTAATCCCCTAGTTCCCTTCTCTACTTTTTGGGAGACAAAGTTGTCTGCTAGGTTTGCCAGGAATCTGTTTGATCTTCCACTTGGTGCAGAGTCTGTCTCCCAGTTGATGTCATAAATATGAACCAGTTGCCAAGCTGGTTTTGCTCATGTGACCACATGCAATGGTTGTAAAGTATGAAAAACAGTCATAAGTTGCTTTTTTTCATTGATGTTGTAACTTTGAATGGTCACTAAACAAATGGTTGTAAGTCATGGACTACCTGTACATAAGAAGACCATTCCACTGAGCACACTGAGAATTCAGCAAGCAAAGGAGTGGGTCTCACTCAAAAGTAAATTCCCTTTTGTTTAGTGAAGCTTTATTCTGAAAAATAGTAGATGCACACAATCTTATATAGAAACAAATCCCATGAAGACAGACATCCAGAGTAGACATCATCCCACACATTTTTCTCACAGGTCTCACTAACTAAAGGCATTATTAACCAAAGATGTTTAGCTTTTCCCATGCTGCTATGAAGGAAAGACTATTGATGAGACATCACATTTACATTCCACAAATGTAGGACTTTTAGTTTTGCTGTGGACCAATTTAAGTGACAAGGAAGAAAATGATCTAATAGAACAGAGATGGTTCCATGGTTTCAAGAGAATATGAGCATATAGAGTAGAGCTACTGGACTACAATTCATCATTAGAGAACTAGTTTCATGTAGCGGTTAAAGATACCATTTTAGAAAATCTTATCAAGAAAACTGCAGATATTTATCCAGGCAATCGCCAGAAATCAACATTAACTGAAAGGAACCAAAAATATAAACTAAATAAAATAATAAAATAAAATAAAAAATAATAAAAGAAAATAAAAAATAATAAAAGAAAAGAAAAAATAATAAAAGAAAAGAAAAAATAATAAAAGAAAAGAAAAAATAATAAAAGAAAAGAAAAGAAAAGAGAGAGGGGGGGGGGAGAGAGGGAGGGAGAGAGAGTACCAAACTAGTTTTGTTTTAACTAAAAGAAAATAAATATGGCTGAATGCCACTAATGTGTTTCCTAAACCAATAGAGGTAGCAAGGCTTTATATGACTTCTATTCCAAGTCATTTTTTATTTGATCCTCCTCTCCTGTCCCCTCCTCTGTCATCTTGGTCGGTTTCTGTAGCAAGGTAATCCTCGACTTATAATTAGTTTGTTTAGTGACCATTCAAAGCTACAATGGCTCTGAAAAAAGTGAGTTATGACCGGTTTTTCACACTTATGACAGTTGCAGCATCCCCACAGTCACGCAATCAAAATTCAAATGCTTGATAGCTGACTCATATTTTTGTTGGTTGCGTTATCCTGCAGTCATGTGATCCCCTTTTGCAACCTTCTGACAAGCAAAGCCAGATTCACTTAACCACCATGTTACTAACTTAACAGCCACACCATTCATTTAACAACGGTGGTAAGAAAAGTCATAAAATGGGGCAAAACTCACTTAACAGCTGTCTCACTTAGCAACAGAAATTTGGGGCTCAATTGTGGTCATAAATTGAGGACATCTGTATATGACTTTTATTTTTTTATTTACTCCTCTTCTCCTCTCCTCTTTCCCCCTCCCTTCCCTTCCCCTCCCTTCCCCTCCCCTGTAAACAGCATTTACAGGAAAAACTACATATTTGGTGACATGCTATAAATCCAGCATTGTGTCTTTTTGTCTGGAAGTCTTACCTAAAAATATAAGTTGTGGCATTTGGGTAATCAAGCCACAATGCCTTTTTCATCATTTGTCTCCATTTCTCCTCCATAGATGCCCATCTGACCTCTTCTTTGCAGCCCCAACTTTGTAATGCGAATGCTACTGACACATCTGATCACAGAAACAGTTACTTAAGTGCTGATTCATAAAGCTTGTTGAATAAGAAACTGTCTGATTGAACAGACCAACTTCCTGAATGGACATAATTAAAACCTAAGGAGATTTTTTTCACAGATTCATGGGTTTTCAGAAGCTAAAATTTGCATATTAATAAGAGCCTGTTCAAACTGATTGGCTTAATGTGTTTGGAATAAGTATAATTAAATGTCACGGGAGATATATTATAAAGTAATGAAGCTGGAAGTAATTTATCAGAAATTGAACTAAGACAAAGGCATTTCACACAATAAACAGTATGTGAACCTTCTTTAATAATAATAATAATAATAATAATAATAATAATAATAATAATAATAATAATAATAATAATAATCTATACTCGGACATGCATTTTTTATTTCATTGCCAAATAAACAATGGCACAATGATGTTGCTTTTATCATCTCCAGGATAGTTATTTTTTAAAAAGTATATTTTTTTAAAGAATAAAAGTTTCAATCCATCAGCCCTAGAATGAAAATGGCACCAATCATATTTGATACCACAGTGTATCATTCCCTTATTGCTCTCTCCTTGTGCACTTTAGAAGCAGTTCAGTCCCCAAATGTTACTGAGGTTTAATGAAAACTTCCAAACGGAGATTTGTTGGTGTTGACAATGCTTTCCCCTTGTAATATCTGTCGGGTAGTTCAGTCTGTTCTTCCTTTGTCTTATTCTGTTTTAGCTTTTTTTTTATAAAAAAAATACAAGGACATAGAGGAATGTTCTGACATTCTGTATTATTATTTATCAGAAGTAATTTATGCTTTCAATTCAGCAAGCTGGATCCAGGTTTTATTCTGCCAGTGTGGGCACCAAATGTGATCTTTACCAGTTCCTTCTGTCTTTATGACCCCCAGGACCTTTTCTTCTGGAAGGATCTACAACATTGTGCTGAAGTTTCCTGAAAAACAAAGATGATTGCACAAGAAGGAACACACATAGGCACACACACACAGAGAGACACACACACACAAACACACTTTTCATTTTGGCAGGGTTCCTCTACTGGATCAGAAGCCTTATAGGGCAAAGTAAGGTTTTCTATTTGTAGGAAGCTTTGTGTAACCAACAAAATCTTCACAAATTCATTTATAGATAAAACATCTTAAGAACTAAACTCCACTTTTCTTTTTAAGCTATACTAGGTATATCATTACTCCCAAAAAAATTTCTCACCAGATTTTCCAGCAGAAACCAAGGGCTAATTTTTCATAATTTCTAAAAGTCTATGTTTCACTTTTTTTATATAGTGTATCTTATACATTGATCCTCATATTTCTTTCCAAATAAACTGTGGATTCAACTTGGAACCCACCTATTAGCTGGTTCAATCATTGGATCTAATCCATTGTTTTATTTATGTTTTATTTTCATTTTTTATGTATCTAAAAATAAAAAAATGGCTTACACATGATCATCTTATTCTTAGAGAGAGGTGAGAAACATTGCAAAATGTTTATTGGTCTAGGCGCTGTACTGATACCAGAACAGGTGCATCTGTTCACCCAAAGAAACAGATGGAGTGATTTTCTACATTGTACAAGAGGATGTTTGCTTGCATAATTGGATTTGCACTTCCTTTCCCAACAAACTCCTAAAATCTTCTCCAAAGGGGGTTTATCTAGAGCATATTTGGATAGCACAGGGGAGGACTTAAAAAAGCACAGAGAATCTCTTCCCAACACGTTACTCATGGGAATATTTCTGCCAATGGAAACGTATTGCTGATCTTCCTCTTTTCCTTTACATGCAGGCTCACCAACGCACCCATCAAATAAAATGAATTTATGCAAGGAAGTGGGAAGCACTGTATCCATGCCAATTGCCTCTAATTCTTCAAAAAAGTATACACAGTTAACATTTACAAAAATCCTCATAATTAAACTTCTCCCAAGTATGGAAAGCACATCAAACAAGTAAACATAGGCATAGCCAAGAAACAAGAATAAATTAGGAAGTTAATTAGCCTTAAAATCTCCCCCCCCCACTGAAAACAAACAAAGAAAACCTTAAACAGCTTCTCTAAAACCAAAATATCAAACTTGTCCAACTGTCATGTTTTGATCAGTCTCCAAAAGCATCAGGAAAAAAATGCCTAGTGTTAAGACAAACTCATGAAAGCATCTAAGTTGTTATCATTTTTTTTGTTAATATTATTTATATAGTGACATAAAAGATGCTATAAGAAAACAGCATTCAAGTAGCCTCATCTCTTTTTATTCTTTCCCTTTTTTTTCTTCTTTTTTCTTCCAACTAGTAACTATTACTTAAACATTTTTATATTCTGCTTTAAACTTCTTTAATTATTGCTCATTTCTATTTGAATAATTTTCATTAGTATGTATTAAGCAATTCCTCTTTTTTTTCCCCAAACCCAGGATTATAAACATTTTAGCTTGTCTGTGTTTCCCTTATGTTGATTTTTTACCCAGAAAAGCAACCAAAACCCTTGATTACTTTCATTAACTGAAATGAACGGTTTGTGGTGCATAACTGTTAGTACCTCATTGTCTGCATAGCATTTCAAATTGTGTTCATCTCTTTGAATTTTGATCCTAATTATCTGCTTGGTTTGTTGTTTTTGTTTTGGATCTTGCTGGTCAAAACATTTAGGGGGATAACAAACAATAAAGAACAGAGTACAGATCTTGTCTTTTCCCTTTGCTTATTGAATTGCAGAGAGTGTTCCATTCACTATCTTCTTTGCTCTTTGCTATTGGTATCTATTCTCCACCCACGTTTTTAATTTTTCTCTAGGATTAATTTTATTTAAGACTGGCTGTAAGAAAAGTCCATTCCAAATTATCAAAAGCTTTTTCCACATCCAGGAAGATTTACATCTACTTTCCATTTTCTTAATAATGATGGATTCTTGTGGATTTATAATAAAACTGTGGTTTATTTATGGAACATCACCAGTCTGATTTATGTGTATAAACTTCCTCATTTCTTCATCTAATATAGTTGTGAATATCTTCAGTAAAGGAATTGGTCTATATGACTGTTTTCTTCAGCTCATTCACTTCCTTGTATGTTGTCATCATAGAGGACTCATCTCACATCTTTGTTTATTGTTTTCATTGTAATTTCTAAGAAGGCGTTACGATTATGATTTTTTTTGCAAAACCTGTTTATAATAATGCATGTTTTTCTTGCAATTTTGCCTATCTTTGGAGATATATGCTTGCAGTTGGGTATCTTGGGGCCTGCTTTTCACCAGTGATTGCTGCTCATAGAATAGAATAATAGAATAGAATAACTTTATTGTCACTTTGAATGTACACTAATCGGCATACATTAAAATGAAATTTCATTGCCTACAGCTCTCAAAGGGTCACCACCTCCGATATACACTACATAAAGATGACAAAAATAAATCAATAAATACAGAGTTATGCATATACCCACATATATTGTATGACACAGAGAAACAGTCTAGTTCGGGTTATGTATACATGTGCATGGCGAGAAAAACGAATCATCCAGTTAGATTTAGGATGAAGGGCTCCCTTTGAATCCCTGTTCTGGCAGAGGGCAGTTCTTTAAATCCACAATTTGTCTACAAGGATGGTTCTATGCTTCGTCTGCCCTCCCTGCTTTCGAATGGCATTCCTCTCATACTTAGGCTGTCACTACCCTATTAAGATTCAAGAAAGACATTAAAACGTGGCTCTTCCAAGTCTTTGGCAGACCAATATGACTGAGTTCCCTCCCTCAGTAAGACTGTTGGTTAACATTGGCTTGGCTTTGTTAGCTGTTGTTGGGAGGATAAGCTGCTTAGAGTTAGTCAAGAGTGAAGCAGCATATGAGCATAAATAAATAAATAAGTGCCAAAATACATTAAAAAGCTAGTGCAAACTTTAAAAAAAATTCTCAGATTCAGTGAACTGCTTCTTATAGTTCTAGACAAATAAGAAACCCCAAAATCTCTGACCCTCCCTGTAAAAGTAACATGATCAGATGTACTTGTTAGCTAGTCCTTTTCATCTCCCTTTTACCACCCCCACCCCCGCCACACAAACACAAAGAGCATACAACCACAATGTTGTAAGGTCAGGTAATTTGCTAGCCTAAAACTGGAGCTCCTTAAAGTTGTAAGACAAACAATGAGGCAGCACTTTTGTCCAGTTTTATTTTCTTGTTGCGCCTCCTGAGCACAGGAACGAAGAGAAGACTGCAGGAAAAACTGCCTAGCACAGGAGCTAATACTTCTGGCAGCGGGAAGCGCTTTCTTTGCAATCAAGTCCTGACTGAAACAAACAGAGTGGACAATCCCTAGAGATGTTTCAGAATGAAAGGTTGTTGTGTGTCAATTTTCATTAAGAAGAGTCAGAGTTGAGGGGAGACGAGCCCAACTTAGATTAATTTAAGTAGGGCTCACCTGGGAATTGAGAAATCTCTTCTAATTTGGGAGCTGCAGTGGCAGCATTAAGTAAGCATTCTGTGATGGCCATTGCTTTATTTACAAGAACTTTCCATCACCACCAGGGATGAGCAAGGTAATCTTGAGTACCTATCAGACTACGGCATCTTAAGCACTGAAGTTAGTCTAAGCAGATTTTTAGAGAATGTTTAGGATTAATCTAGGCTGGGGAATTCCATTTAATTTGTTCAATTTAGATGCTTATGACTCCAAATGACTCTGAGGGGCTCACAGTCTAACACCTCCCCCCCAAATACAGTACAATTCAAAAAACAAAAGCCAAAACACAGATAAGGTAAAAAACAAAATAATAAATAAGCAAAAAACACCAGATGCCAACCACTATGTTCAGACTGTTTATATTTCTATATATTTTGCTACCTTATCTGACTTCTTTTTGAATGAAGTATATAATGACATACATGAATTGTGACTATTTGCAAAGTTTGTTTGGAACACCAAAACCTTCTGGAAAGGTCCATTTGTGGTGATGTCACCAATTCAAGATTTATCTTCCTCCTAACTGAGTATAAAGATAATCTAAAATCATTGCCAAGGAAGACAGTTCTTGCTCAATATGGAAGCATGTTGGGCATATCAGAGACTTGACCTGATTCTGGCAATTTACAGCCCAGAATGAGGTTTCACTGGAGATTTTCAAGAAGAGGTTAGCAATCATTTGTCCAGAATTGACAAACTGACAAACTTGAACAATGGGCCCTATCCAACAAGTTTCAGTGTGGAGAAAAGCAAAGTTTTACATGTAGGCTAGAAAAATCAAACGTACAAGTACAGATTGGGTGAGACTTGGCTTAAAAACAGCAACTGTGAGAGGGACCTTGGAGTTCTGGTGGACAATCACTTGACTATGAGCCAGCAGTGTGCAGCAGCAACCAAAAAAGCTAATACAATCCTGGTTTGTATAAACAGAAGCATAGAATCAACATCACGCAAAGTATTAGTACTGCTTTATAAAACCTTAGTAAGACCACACCTGGAATACTGCAGCCAATTTTGGTCACCATATCACAAAAAAGATGTTGCAAATTTGGAAAAAAATTCAGAGAAAAGCAACTAAGATGATCAATGGCCTGGAGACTGAAATATACCAAAAATGGCTGTGGGACTTGGGTTTGGCTAGTCTAATGAAAAGAAGAAATAGGGAAGACATGATAGCAGTATTCCAGTATTTGAGGGGTTACCATAAAGAAGAGGGGGTCAAACTATTCTCCAAAGCACCAGAGTGAAGGATGAGAAACAATGGTTGGAAACTGATCAAAGAGAGAAGCAACCTGGAATTAAGGAGAAACTTCCTGACAGTGAGGACAATTAACCAGCCTCCAAAAATCATGGGGGCTCCATCATTGGAGATTGTTAAGAAGAGACTAGACAGTCACTGTTCTGAGATGGAATAGGTTCTCCTGCTTGAGCAGGAGGCTGGACTAGAAGACCTCCAAGGTTCTTTCCAGATTCTATTC